AACTTTCATGTACAAGAAAGGCCTGTACATAGCACATTTGTTAACTATCTGGTCCTTATTCTTCTTACCTTTTGAGTCCTGCTTCCAATTCCATATCTCCCTCAACTTGTTCCTTCACTGATTGCTCCCCCACAGGTCCCTCAACTTGGCACCCTATCCTATCTCCCAGGATGTTATCCTGGCCTGGAGAGTTAAATCCCCCACAGAGCTTTAAAAAACAACCAGATTAGCTAAAATGTTGGGGACTTGGACAGAGGAAGCGTTTATGGGCATCATGGAAGCATCAGAAGACTTGATTTCCGCAATGTAAGGGGGCTTTGGGCAGGGAAATGAACCTAAACTCACACAAGGTGAAAATCACAATCCAGATGTACAAGTGTAACCTAAATAGACAGCCCAGAAAAAATACAGATACTGTGTTTTGCTTTTGTTGTTGTTTTTTCCTGACCCTAGAGTTGAATATAACTTTGTGAAGGTCTTCTGCCCACTTGTTTGAAAGTTGCATGGGGTTATAAATCAGGTTTAAAGTAGTCTTAAATAAATAAAAAATATATCACATATGGATGGATGGGGGGGCTTAGTGTAAAACATAATCTGAGAGGTTTGCTTTACCAAACTCATCATGGAAGTAATCATCCTTAGCTTATGAGGCAAAAGTTTTTAAAGTGGTTTCTCTAGTCTTTATTCATTCTTCATGCAGAAAAAATGAGAGATGATTAGCAGATGATTCTGCTGCTGTTTTAATCAAGTTTTATAATGTTATAATGGTTTTATTCTTTGATCCTGTTTTTATCTAGGGCTTATTTTGTGCTGTTCTTTTTATTTTTAATAGTTTTATTTTATATTTTTAACATATGCTGACCAGGGAACATCAGTTATGGGTAGTTAAAATGAATAATGAATAAATTTGTTAATTATCTGGTCCTCATTCTTCTTACCTCTTGAGTCCTTGAGTATAATGAACAAACAAACAAACAATTATGGTGAGTACTCTGGATATTTAAAACCTCTGCTTTTTTTCAAACCTTTTAGGAGGAATATGCCTCTTTCTGGAAATTTAAATGATAAAATGACTTTATCTTCATGATGCTATACAAAGCTCTTTCAGACAAAGCTAGAACTTTAAAATGTGTTTTTATGGAAGAGAATGTAGCAAAGATTGCATGATAAGAGACAGATACTGTAGAAGGGAAGGCAGATCTAAACTGTAATACATGCTTAAATGACATTGTTAATGAGGGAAAGTCATACTTTCTTTCCTTCTTACTCATCTCTGTTTTCCTCCCTCCTTTAGCTGTATTCTGCAGTGGAAGTACATATCCTTTTCTTTTTTAGTTAAACATGGTTTTCTCTGGAATATGAGTAAAATAAAAGTATTAAGGTGCTCCTGGGTGTGTTTTATGAGTCCATTTACTCTAACCCTTTTTCATCACAAACATCAAAGGCATGTATTAATAGACCAATAAAATATGTCCTGTCATGTTCAACAAGCAGTAAGGCATCTGTTAAGTGAGACATCAATCACATGCAAGATGCTTGCAGGGTAACTGTGTTGCTGCTGAAGACTTATAATTTTATTGGCTCCTTTCCTACACAGATGGGAAAATAAAGATTGTTGAATCATCTCACTTATAGCTGAAACAGTGAGTGATCCAAATTACAATTTTTAAGCCTCTTCATTGCTCAAGCCTTAGATTTAACTGAAGTTTGTAATGCCAAGTGGTATGTGTGACAGAGTGCAATGAACTGCAGTATATCAGAATTAAAATGTACTGCAACACATGTTTAAAAAAAATCTGGGAAACTTTATAGCAATTCATGGATTTCATTTTGAAATATTCAGATAATTATTTTGTACCTTTGCTCTGTTGTCTCTGTGCATGGGCAAAGAAGAATGTATTTGCATTTGAATTCCCATCATTGTATTTTACTGGAATAAATAAAGCTAGTTGAGATGGAATAAAAAGGCACATGAAATTGGGATACCTAATTATTTAAAAGTTGTCTCCAGCTATGCTTAGCTAACTACTGTGAATGGTTTCTAAGTAGCATAAGCCACGTGTGGAGATCAGAAGCAAACTGCACGTTTTAATCAAAGTTTTCTAAATGAGATTAGGATATGCCCAGGTTCATTTTAATAAGATTTACAAACAGTTATGCAATGCTGAATAAGGTAGAAGGATTGGGTAGCGTTTGCAAGAGGGTAAGAAGGGGAGCCAGTGTGACCCACTTGCAGCTCCTGAAGCCTAGTTCCAGGGTTTAGTCCAAACAAGACCTGGTTAACTGTACAGTAACTTAAATAGTTATTTATTAGATTTATATATCACTTTTTTCTTACAAAGAACTCAAAGCAGCTTACCTCATTCTCCTCTCCCTGCTCTGTCTTATCCCCACAACAACAGCCCTGTGAGGTAGGTTGGGCTGAGGGTTTGTAGCTGACCCAAAGGCACCCAGCTGGCTCCATGGCTGAGTAGGGACTAGGACCCAGAGTGCCTGAGTCCCAATCCCATGCTCTTAACCATTACACCACACTGGCTCTCACACTGGTTTTACATGGTTTCTATCTTTCCTGGAGGAGAATATATATTTTAATATTAATATTCCTATTACACTTTCCTGAAGTGGACAGTGAGTATAACTAGTGAGTTCACCAGATTAAAAGGATAGTGTATGCGTATGGATTATCTTTTAACATTTGAAATAGATTACTTTTTTGATTTCATTTGAGATATATTCTGAAATTGTATTCTTCAGTAAAGATGTTGTATGATATCACAAACTGTGCTAGCTTACAAACAACAAAGAGGCATAGGTCAGGAACTGCTGTACAATCAGACTGAGAGTCTCTATAATGCAATATGAGCTTTCATATAGCCTGACGTGCCTGATCCTGCCTAATCTTGGAAGCTAAGCAGGATTGGAACTGGTTGAAATCTGAATGGATGACTTAAATGTTTTGAACCATCCAGAGAAATTTGGCTACAGGCAGTAAAGAAATGTAACAACAGCAACAATATAGGGACACAACAGCAGGGGATATCTTTGCTGGTTCCAGGCACACCATCCTTCCTATCTAGATTTGGGTCTGAAAGATCAAGCAATCTTATGCTAGGCTATGGAGAAAATCAAAACCGTTTATGCTCGTCTCCAGCTGCACTACATAATTGCTTCTCAGCTGTTCTTACAAGTTCCTGCAAAGGTGTTCCTGGTTCTGCAGACACTTCTAGGCTCTGATCCTGACAATAATTGTTGCATTGTATTAAAATGCACATTCCACTGGAGGCATCTGTTGCTTATACAAAGCCCCTGTTGAAATGAATTGTACAGAGGTAGATTTTCACCTATTGTTACAGTGTGTTTAAATGAAATGGCTTCTTTGGAAGCTATGCTTCTGTCAAGAAGGCTGTGACCTTAAGCACATTTTCTGCCACTCAATCCTATTGAACTCTAGGACTTTTTCTTTGAGGAGATGGTAAGAAAACAAAACATTCCAGTCAAGCCTGATATGCATGTTCAAGTATCCCTAATAAATCATAATATAGATGAAAATGTCAAAATTGAAACAGAATATGTACCTCACATGAAAACTAATGAGTTTCCTTCAACCTATCCATGTCAGATTTGTTTGTAGACTTGTGCTAATCTTGTGGTTCTTTGTTGTTGTTGTTAGTTGCAAAGTCGTGTCCAACCCATTGCGACCCCATGGACAACACTCCTCCTGGCCTTCCTGTCCTCCACCTTCCCCCAGAGTCCACTCAAGCTCACACCAACTGCTTCAGTGACTCCATCCAGCCACCTCATCCTCTGCCATCCCCTTCTTCTTTTGCCATCTATTGTTCCCAGCATTAGGCTCTTCTCCAGGGACTCCTTCCTTCTCATTAGGTGGCCAAAGTATTTGAGTTTCATCTTCAGTATCTGACCTTCTAAAGAGCAGTCAGGGTTGATCTCCTCTAGGACTGACCAGTTTGATCACCTTGTGGTCCAGGGGACTCACAGGAGTCTCCTCCAGCACCACAATTCAAAGGCCTCAATTCTTCGGCGCTCAGCCTTCCTTATGGTCCAACTTTCACAGCCATACATTGCAACTGTGTTTTTTAGCTCTGCATTAATAATACTTAGTGGCATTCCAGTCAAATAATATTAAATCAAATTGTTGAGCTGACTATCATGTCAATTGCCCATCAAGCTTTTAGTATTAGTATTTTTTTTAACCTTAGGAAATGTGGTCCTCAGTCACCAGTTTTTGAACATTTCATCTAAAGAGTTCATTTTAAATTGAATTTTCATTTCCAGATTAGAGGAATTTTTGTCTGAGAGCTTCTTGTTTCATATCATGCTCGAAATCCAGAAAATGTGCAAAACAGGACTTTTAACAGTCATTCTGTCAAATGAGACATAGCTGAAGTTTTACTCTTCATTTGGTAATCTCAGGTGTATCAGTAAATATGTGGCTTCTGCTGCCATCCTTTATGCAAGTAAATGGTGTGTTTGAAAGGAATGAATTCTGATACAATGTTCAGCAAGTTGGTTTTGCAGAATTATACTACTTTTCCCAATGGTCTCATATTATCTTCTCCTGTGCAACACAGCACTCCTTGGCACAGCCACAAGGGAGAAAGATTAGAGCTGAATGGAGGGATTCTGTTTCATTCGTTACCAATTTCATGACAGATAATACCTTGCTAGAAAATTATAGTGTTGTGCAGATTTAGTTCTTACTTGTTTTTGAGCAATTTAATTGAAGTAGCTCACAGGGACAGAATTGTTTAGATGGCATGGGTGTTTTTCTACAGTCACTTTTTCATGGGAGAGGGAATTTTAAACTACCTTTTAACTACCCAAAGGCAGTGGCAAAAATGTATCTTAGGTTTTAGTAATCTTGCAGCCATTTGTCCTTGTTACATTTGTCCTAGCTTCTTTATTCTCTTCAAGGAGCCTAAGAGACAAGGAAGACAAGTCACTTGGTAGAAAAGACTAGGGTGATAGTTTGGATGTTGGTTTGCTGGCTAAACACAGGTGTTCGGAGGATTCAGGATAATCTTGTTAACCGTAATAGGCACTTAACACATGGCATGTTCAACTCATCATTTGAGGGTAATTGGTTATAATACAGAAGAACATAGATTAACAAAAGGCTTATAGCAGTGAAATCAGTACTGAATGTCAATTTGCCTGAGCCAGGAAGTACCAGTTAAACATACTTTTTTAAGATATGAAGGTTTGTTTCTGGATGCCTTAGATCCTAAGATTTGTATATTTGAATCAATACATTGTTTGTGAGTTAAAAGGGAGTTTGTGACTTAATGAAGAAAATTAAGGAATGGGCTCCTATACTGTACAGGAAGCTAAAATTTGTTCACACCTTTTGGTCTCTTTGTTTCCACCAGCTTGAGATGGATGATGTCTGTGAAATTTACCCTTCACCTGCCCATGAACAGCTGACTGCACCGGTGTTTCTAGTCTTACCTTGACTTCTTATCCTTCCTCCTTTTTCCAGGAAAATGGTCTCACTGAGGACATTGGAATATCAACTTGGAAAGAACAAATTTTCCTATCCCATAGTGCCTTGCTGGCAAGGAGCTGCCAGGCTGCAATGGAACTGGCAAACCATGATGCAGGGATGCAGAATATGGCCTTTAAGTATGGAAAGCACATGTCCCTGAGTCATAAGGTATACTTCCTCCTTCCCCAGAAGCTATTCATAGAACACATTTAATATGTGAAAAGTTTTCTTGTCTACATTATTTTACATCTATGCATTTCTCTACATATATTGATAGTGTGCATGCTTATGTCTCATATTAAAGCTTACAGCTTTTCCTACTGTAAATTTAGTGAGAATTCAGCATAGCATACCCCACATTATACATTGTCTTTTCTGTTCACAAAAGAAGCTCAAGAATTTAATATACAACCAACATGTAGACCTCATGCCTACAGTGTGCAAATGCTCTAAGAATCAGTGATTAGTTATGTATGAAACAATAAAATACCCATGAGTTACACTGGCATCGGTACTAAATTGTATTGTTGAATATATCTCAGTTTTAGTTTTATTAGATATTACTGGTGTTTGAGTTACAGCAGTATTAGATGATTTTTGTCCATTTTGTAGGATTCTGTCACAGTCTAGTGTGACCAAGGAACAGAACGCAGGATGGAACTGTGCAGAAGTTTAGATTAGATTCTTGTTGGCTGGGTCTCCAGGGCAGTTAGCAGACTGAACCTCCACCGGAATGGTATCACCAGTTGCTTCTTTGACTTTTAGCTTCTTCATGCAGATTACCAATCATTCCACTTTCCTTCTAATATATATTTGAATATGCTTATTTGAAAACCTACAATATGGAGAAGGAGACTCTGTTAATATTAATGGGATTTGAACCAAATATCATAATCAGGAATGACCTGCTAAGTCTTGAGTAGTGTATTGAAGGCTTGAAGCCTCTTTGTTATAGCCAAGTATGCAATTTTTATTTGTTAAAGTTTGTGCATGTGATATCAATTATAGAGTAATGTAATGAACTATAAAGAATTACTTCTATGTTAATTTAACAACATGCTTTGATCCTCTGTCTTTCAGCTAAATGTTGACATTCAGCCATTTGTTAATGATAGGTCTAAAGACTCTGTGGCCTTCAGTTTAAATTCCGCTCCTGTAGTCTTGCATCAGAAATTTATTGGAAGAGAGGCTTGGATTAGGCAAATTGAAGAGGTAGGTAAACTCCTGTTAACAGATGGGCTGCATTAGAAAGGCAGGTGAAACTTATAACCATGGCTTCAACTAAGCTTGTTTCAAAATAAAAATAGTTAGCATCAAGCACCATTTTGTAACTTGGATAAACTAACAACCCACAGTTAAGCAAACTCCTCAGACTTTACTGGAGGAGGATTTGGGCATGCAGAAGCAGAAGGACTGCCACTGTTCATTCCTGTTCAGTTTTGTGTGATATCCAAAGACAACCACCCGGTGTTACAAATGAATGTTACTGGTGTGTACAGTTTGGGGCCAGATTACTTGAGGGACTGCTGCCTCCCCAGCATGATCAGCAAGCAACACCTCCCTCATTTGAAGTAGCCTCACACTTCTGGAATAAGTTACCATTCAAGGTCCAACTGGGCCCTATCATTGCAGGTGTTTTAAGGTCCTGAAAACATTTTACTTTGGTCTTCCCCTAGTTTGCTGTACTTGCTGTTCTATTGCTGTTTTGTATTGTTGTCTTTATCAGTGTTTTTTGTTGAATTTTAGTTGTGTTTTTATTGCTTTTAATGCAATATCAGTTTTTTATGTGTTTTATTATGATATGCCACCTTGGGAAGGCTTCTGCCCTAAAATAAATATTTTAAATAATTTTCACACAGCAGATGGATAATGATTTAACATTTATAAAAGGAAAATATTATCTTGTTTCTGTGTATTTTTAACTTAGCTCCAGTGTTGGTACCAAGACATAAAGATTACAATATGTCATGGTCCGGTCCGGTCCCTTTTAAATTAATACCTCTTGCCAAATTCAGTAGTAGTAAGCTTCATGGTATTTTATTAAAATAGGCAATTAAATTTTATTTGAAATATGCAAGCATTCTCTTCCACTAAAACAAATAAAATAATAGATTTAGTTTTTCAACAACTAATTATTTCTAAGCACAGAGCAGAAGAAGGCAGAGGGTAGGAACTGTTCATGCATATATGATTACAACTCAAAACACAGCTGCTTGGGCTAATTTTAGGCCTACCAATGTTGATATTCTTCCTAATGTTATCACATCTCATCCAAAAATGCTATCCTGATACAAGCCCATATTTATTATAACCAATGTGATCTGTATTGAATGGAAGCTTTAAATGAGGAGTAGACAGAGAGTAGCACCTTTCAGATAAACCAGACTACAACTTCCTTAACTTCCAAACGTTGGCTGGGGTTCCTGGGAATTACATTTCAAAACATCTGGAGGGTGCTAGGCTCTCTGCCCCTGCTTTAACCATAAACAGGTCTTTTTAAGTTTCAGCCTTTTTGGCTTCCAAAGGTTTGACCATGTGCTCTACAACTGAACACTGTGTTGGTCAATAGGATCTTTGGAGCTGTAATTGCTACCATGGCATACTGTTTCTGGTCTTTCTGTTGTGTGGGATTTTTTTTCCTTATGTGTTAAACACACACAGTGAATAGACCAGACTTGTAGAGGACAACAAGGGCAGTCAGAGAGAGAATAAGGCCATCTGTGGCTATGGCTATATATCATCTCCAGTATTCGAGGCACTATATTTTCATATGCCCAAGTAGGAAAGTGTTTTTGTACTCATTATCCATTGTGAACTTCCTACATGCATCAGTTTGGTTGGGCATTGTACAAACACAGAGCTGGAATAGATAAGCCTTTGCCTGATTCAGCACAGCTCCTCTTATGTCTCTAGGGCTGGAGCTAGTGCCTTCATTCTGGCTCTCCCTCATGTGAGTCAAATTTCATAAGAGGAATTAACACTTGAATAGGGTTAAGGGACATGTTTGATCTCTCTATATCCTTCTAAGATAGCTTTTTCATAGAACAGTTCTACTAGTATAACAGTTGATAAACTTGTGCCCTGTGAATTAATGGTATTTATTTTCTAGAAGAGAATTAAAACAGGTTTTATTATGATCCTAATAGGCCATGTGGGACTATCAGCCCAGTTCTAGATGAAATACATTTGTTTTCTGCTGTTCAGTTTGAAATGTACAATCTTTCATATTCCTATGTAACTAGAAATTTTAGCATTACAACAGCTAGCATGTCGAACAATTACTAAACTTTTCCTTTTGTGCTTTTTAAGGCTCAAGTTAAAGGAAACTTACTAGACTATGCTAAGGTGAGTAAATATTTAAAACTGAAGTCTTATTTTTAGAACTCTCATAATTCCTGCACTTTTTAAAGCAACTATTAAGTTTCTTCTAATCAGTATAGTATGTGCAAGGGTATAGAGAATGTAATTCCATATGCATGATGATTCATGGGAATGGAGCTCAGCATTTCAATTACTTTTTCAATTATGTTTTTTCCTTATTTCAACTAAAAATTTACTTGCAAAGTGTTCACAACAATAAAAATGCAATACATGCTGGTACATTTATACAGCGTTTAAAATACAATGCTGGTCAGGGGAAGAGTTCTCAGCTGGGTGTGATTCGAGGCATCATGGATCCAGCATTGTGTGCATTTCCATCACATGTAGAATGTGGTATGTCAGTCAGGTGGCCACACGGGAAGATTTATATACAGTTTGTTCAGTCTTCTTCTTTGCATGTGCTACCAGGAAGCTCACTGGCTGACTTTGGCGAGTCACACACTTAGCCTAACCCATCTGACAGGGTTATTCTAAGGATAACATGAGGAGGGCTGTGTAAGCCATCTCAGGTTCTTCATGAGAAGAAAACGGACAGGATATAAATTTAATATCACAATGATAATTAACGTTTCTTTAGCAGGCCTCAGTACTTCTCACTGTTGAAACTCTTTTGTTACAAAAGTAGATTTGGAGAAGTACAGTAGAAATGGCTGAATGGTCTTTGATGCGGTTTTGATGGCATTTCCCCTGCTGTCTTTCTAGTGCAACAGAAACTGGAAGGAAAGTATTAAAACTAGGAAGTGTACCTCTACATAGGCTACCACAGTAAGAAATTATTTGAAGATACAATAGAACCTGCAATTTAATTAAACATTGGTTTTCAAATTATGAGTTGACCCATGCAAAAGTCATCACCAGTCCCAGTAGAGGTATTTTAAATTAAATTTCTGTTTGCTTCTATTTCACCAAAATGCAAAGTGTATATACTGCTGGGGGTCCTCCTTGTCCACAAGTTCTTTGTATTCTATAATCTCCTTTCTCTGCAGTCAGTCTTCATTATTTCAAAAAGCTCATTTTAGATGCTACTATTAGAAGCCATTTATTCACAAGCAGTTAATCAGTCTGTTAATACTCCAGTCTTATATTCTAGAGAGTGGCGACCACATGCAGACAAATTATTGATCTATCATGATTATGTTTGATGACCTGTCCCTCTCTAGTATTCCTTGACTAAAGAAGCAGTGAAAATGGGGCATTGGGGTTAGATGTATAAGAATTAGGATCAGTGCTTGAAATTGCCTCTTTCAGGAACAATATGCCCAGCTCAGCAGCTTATATACTACATGGAAAACTGGGCTTTTCAAAGTTCTAGTTTTTATGGCTGTTCTGATGTATCTATATTCCTGTGCCATTCGTTGCATTTTATTTTTTTAACTATTGTATTTTATATTTTAATTGTATTGAATTTTGATCTTTTAAGTATTCCCAATCTGCACAGATAATGTTTATCACTGGAAATATAAAAACTAAAATAAATAACTTTTTTCAACATACTTTCTCCTGATCAGGGGGAGGGGAAAGAGCAAAGCTAAATATGGTCATCTGTAAGAAATGGCAGGGATTCTTGTCATGGTACAATGTAAACAAATATAGCAGTTGTTGATGGGATGGGACTCAAAAAGCATCATGCACTGGAAAAATTCTACTGCACAGGATGGAATTCAAGTTTGTAGGATCTGCTTTGTTTTCTCTGAAACCCCAAGATTCACCAACCAAAGTCAAAAACTAGGGAGAGAAGAGGGGGGAAATTATATACGTAGAATTAAAGAACAGGGTGTCTTTTTGTTTTCTGTACCAGAATTGTGTTTACAGTTCATCAGGCAAAAACCACTCCTTGCTTTCTTCATTTTAGCGGCCTGATTTAGTGTGGAAGAAGAGCTTTTTTGTTTTCTTTTTTTTCTTTTTTTCTTTTGTTAAGCATTTGAGAGATCTTGCTGTTTTGGGAAAATCTTGCTGACACCACAAGTCATACCAGGCATCTACCAGCTATTCCCATGATAACTTCTACCTATCCCTACCACAGGAGATAGTGTAATTGCATGATTGTGTGAAATGTTGTACAGGTATTAACTAAGGAGGTACAGATTGTGTTAAATCTGTTCTTTCCATTTTTAAGTCAGGCACCTTCCATTCCATCATGGAATTTGCCTGACCATTCTATTCCATTCCATCGGTTAACAGAACTGGAGTTTTTCTTGGTTAGCAAACTTGCATGCATGCACATCTGCACAAATGTGCACTTCTGAAAATCTGTAAATTCCCCCAAATTTGCAGTTCTTCCCAAAAAGGCTATTTTCACACTTCATCTTGTAAGAGGAAATGCATATTTTCTTTCAGGTTTTTCATTTTTCTACAGTAGATTTCTTTAATATTCTGGGAAGCATAAATCAGTCTACAAGCCCATGGAATCTATGTGACTTAGGAAAAATTGTTCTGTTGTGGAATCTGCAGATTGGATTCATATTAATCTGAATTAATTTGAATTTATTGTGAATCTCTCTGACATAGCTAAGACTAGCTATCACCCAGGCCATGCCATAAATATCAGCACCCATTTCAGCACCCAAATGATAGTATCTAATTGACTATAGTTACTAGTACTATAGTTTATATATTCCTCACACCCCAATACTTTCTGCAAGCAAACGGCTTCCCTCCAAAATGCCCTATTAACAAAAAATGCCAGGTAGGCCTGGGGATTTTGTGATAAGCACTATCTTACTGTTGAGTTTAAATCTATATTGACTTGCTTTGAAAAGGTAAAATATTACTTTTTATCAGAAGGTACTACATCCTAGTCTCATGTGCCTGACTGCTACTAATTTCTTCTGTCATGCTGTCATTAAGCATACCCTAAGGCTAAAAATGATTTTCTTACAAAATTCAAATGAATGAACCAGTTGTGCAAGGAGCAAGTAAAATTATTCACTACTGAGAGAAGATACATTGATATTAATTTTTTTTAATACTAGTTGTCAATAAACCTTTGGAACTTTGAAAACATATTCCCTGTTCCAATAATTTAAGTAAATGGAATCAGAATGTAGAACTGTTTGTTCCATATGGTATTGAACTTTACATCCAGGGCCTGCTGATGGCTTATCTCGGTTCCAGCATAATTGTTTTACCATGACAGCATTATGTATATCAGCATACCCCTTTTTATACCATGTATTATTTGAAAACATCCTATGGAATTATACCTGAAACACAGCAGAGTATTCAGATGACCATATTCTTGGATAATATCAGAGGCTAGATACAAGATGTAGTTTTATGGATTTATAGGATTTGGATGACAAGCTGTGAACTTAACACACTAAATTGAAAATAACATTGAAAACAGTTGGTCTGCCCTACAAATAAATGTGTTGAAATAGCTGACCAGTCATTTTTTCTGGAAAACTATAGCAGTGTTTTTCAAAAAAAATCATGTATTAATTACTGTAATTTTTTGTTAGACTACCATCCATTTTCAAAATTGGCTTACTACTACTTTCCTCCTTGGCATTTAAACTTGTCAGCTTTATGTCATGTGCCCCAAGCTATATCACGACATTGTTCCTGCTAGCAGAAATTGGGGTGAAAGAATGTTTGCCTTCTCCCTGCAGCCGCTTGCACCTTCCAAAACTCAGCAGGTTTGGGAGATCTTGTGGACCAGTATGCAAGGTTGTACAGGGGCAGGAGAAAGTATGCAAAAGTTGCGTTATTTATTTATTTATTTATTTATTAAAACATTTTTATGCCGCCCCATTCGCCGAAGCCTCCCAGCTAGATCCTTCACCAAATTGAAACTCTTTTGTGGGTGAGAGGCAACGTTTGCAGATTCATGGATGACAAAGTCTGGATCCAACCCCGTGTGTAACTTTGTGTTTAAAGTTAGAATCTTTGTATATAACACTAACATTAAGCTGCTAAATACTTGACAGCTTATGGTATCTTTCCAGATCTCCACTTTGCCAGGAAGAGCTGCATTTTAGTTTAGGCAAACATTTGCATAAAAAAGCCCTTAAAATAAAACTACTGTCTAGCAGCTATTTAAAAAGGAAAAGAAGGAAGAGGTTAACATGCTGCAACACACACTGATTAAATCTATAGAAACTAATAGTATTCTGTTCCAACAATAGTGGGGGGAAAGTAAGTCTGTTAGTTATAAAGTGTATTAGCCCTATTTCATTTTGTAACATTTTGGTAGCCTGAATATGAGCACTTAGTGAGGTAGAAGGCTCCCCACAAGAGAAAACAAATTTAGAAAAGCCAGTGCATAACATGGCAAACACTTAATGCATTAGTTCATTCTCTGACCACAAATCAATTTAAGTTTTCTTCTTTTCCTCCTCCTCCTCCTACTTGGTAAGTTATGAGGTTAGATATAGCATGACCTTAAAAGAGCAGGGAATCCAGTTTCACGTACAGAAAGCTGAGAATCAGGTGAGAGCAAGATTCTTTCTGATGTTTGTTATTTACTAGATTTATATACTGCTTTTTGCTCACAAAGAACTCAAAGTGGCTTACAGCATTCTTCTCCCCATGCTCTCAATCTTATCCCTGCAAGAACTCTGTGAGGTAGGTTGGGCTGAGAGTCTGTGACTGGCCCAAAGTCACCCAGTTGGCTCCATGGCTGAGCGGGGACTAGAACCCAGATCGTCTGAGCCCCAGTCCCACGCTCTTCACCACGACACCACACTGGCTCTCATTATATATGAGAGACTGAGGGTGCCTTTAGAGTATGACATGTGGCTCTGCTTTGTTCCAGGGATGAGCTTGATCATGCCTGGGGGAGAGGCAGAGGCCATGGACAACTGGAGGGTAGTGGCTGGTTCCGACAACCCAGTAACCCACATGCAAGCACTGAGTTGAGCATAGGTGGAGTATAGGTTGTTACTGAAAGTGTAGTTGAAATGTGAGTTGTCAAGATACCAGCCACATTATCAATCTGTGATTTGTTGTTGTGTTGTGAACTATGGGTTGCAGAGCATGATTTATTAGTGCAGCTGGGTCCAGACTATGCAATAACCCATGATTCAATCAACACTTTGGGGTTGAGTGTGGGTTATTATATTGTCTAAATCCAGTCAGCGAGTATACTTGACAGACTGTGCCTGCTAGGGGTTTCAGATGTGCAAGTAGAGAGAAACAAATAATAGTGGTACAAATAATAGAAAGTTGTAGAAGTGGATTGCACAGGAACAGAAAGCTAACTTGGACTGTCCCGCTTTCATGTCTGCTTCATAATTAGGGAAGATTCTAGAGGAGTCTTCTGAAAGTCTATTTTATGAGGGAAAGTAAGGAGAATCAGAGCGGGCCTTGTTCAGTAGTTGCTCTGGATTTTTTCCTCTGTGGTAGAACAAGAATTCTTCCTCCCCCATTTCCTATCTTGCATCCCAGTCAGTTTCTTTTTAAAAACTTCACAAAGCGTTTTAAGCAGTCTCTAGTAGTAACTCAACTCTTTCTGGCCAATGTGAATGCCCTAAATGCTCTTACTTGAAGGTCTCCCAAAATACCAGTAGCATAAATGTGACTGAACACATAATAGAGATAGGCTTGAAGTGGCTGAATCCAGGCACATATAAGAGGTAAAAAAACCCCCCAATTTTTAAGGAGTTAAAAGCATCTGGGTCATGCACAGGAGAACAACATGACTTAGAATCTATCAAAAGCATGGGTCCTCAAACTAAGGCCCGGCGACTGGATCTGGCCCACCATGCCCATTTATCCGGCCTGCCATGCCCATTTGGACCCACCACATGTGCCCGCATCCACACGTGCACCCGCTGCTGCCCACCTTGCCCTGCGCGTGGGGAGGCAGTGGTTTGCTCACTCGGAGAAAATGATCTCCAAGCGAGCAAGCTGCTGCCTCATGCGCCCACCTCACGGCACGTGCCCACCCCCGCCTCACCTCCCCTTGCCGGGCATGCACATCCACCCGTACCTCACCTCACCTTGCCTCGCCGCATGCCCCGCCGCCCCACTCAGCACACTTGTCCACATGCGCAGCCCCCGCCCATGCACCAGCCCGCGCACACCGCCGGCACCACCTTTCCGGCCCGCGCCCAGCACCGGCAGCTTTCAACTGGCCCCCTGGTGGAAAAGTTTGAAGACCTCTGATCTAAAGTAAAGAAATTTAATTATATTTGGGATACATTTATTGAGTATGTCTTTTAAGGTTTTAAGCCTTCAATCATTACAGTTTTAGAAGGGGTAATGTCCTGAAATTTTTGAATGGGGTGTTTGTTTCTTTTTTCTAATTGTAACATTTATCATTGTTCTTGGTGGTGGCGGGCACTGTATCGTAAGAATTATTCTAATTGTATGTTTCATTTACATATTTCTATTAAATGCTAAGGGGTTTTTGGTATTTTAAATTTAAAAAAATAAAAATTATTTTAAAAAAAGTATCTGTCTAAAGTGTGGGCTACATTTGCCTCTGATAGGAAAGGCAAAATACATACTCCATTGTGTAATACTACGCTACTAGAAATATTTCCCAAGAAAGTATGTAGACCATAGAAGGCTGGCCCAGCAGATGTTCTCCAAGAGGAAACACAGAAACAAAGGAGAAATATATTACATGACCAACAAGTTCAACTGAAAAAAAAAAAAAACCTTTTCAGTTGCTGGTTTTCCTTTCAAGAATGGGAACCTTATTGTTGAGCAGATGGAAGGTTTTAGACTTGTGTCCATACCTGGAAAGTGAACTACAGACTAGTTCAGAAATCCTATAGATGTTGAAAAAGAAGAAGGGTGGGGAGGCCACTCAGAAAAGGATGAAACATTAATTTTATCCTCCGCTAATACCTGGGGGAACAGACAAGAGAATTCACAAAATACTTCTCAACCATACATTCCTGCAGAAACTCTTTAAAATGGAGATTAGAACCTGAAAGAAAAACCTCACAAAGTTAGGCTGGCAAAACTTCAAATTTATATCACTGTGCCAGCTTGCTAGTCATGATAATCCAGAATTCTTCAGAACTCTGGCTTGTTGAGGATGAACAGTCATGTTGATACCTACTGCCCCGTTTGTCCCACTTGGCTTCTTTCAGTGGGAGCACCTAAACAAATCAGGAAACCACTGCCCATGGTTTAGCATTCCCTCCTAACTAGCATCTGTGGCTCGTTGTCTCTAGCAAGCCAGAATGAAACCTAGCTTATTATTGCATGTGACCTGGCCCATTGTGTGTCACCTTTATCACCTTTCTAGAGAAATTTGCCTTGTGATCTTCTGCAAGGGCTTAGGAAGTGTATACGTTATTCCTCTTTAGGTGGGCATAGTTGTTAAGCAGCTGTCAACGATGTTCCTTTTTATGCTGTTGTTTTGGTTTAGTTGATTTTTGTGTGTATTTATTGTATTCTCCTGACTTCTGTCAGCAATATTTGGTTATTTAAAAATAAGGCAAGATATAAATAAATAGATAAAAGTAGATCATATTTCACTCCAAAGGCATTTAGAGAGAATCCCTCAAGTTTCTAAGGAACTTTAAGTTACAGGAACCATAGCTAGCCCTAACTTTCCTTCTGAGTGTCATCATTTCTAATTTTTGACTACTGATACCATCTTCTCAAAAGTGTTATCTCTAACACATTCCTTTTTAGCACCATTAGAGATATAGACCTTCATATATTCAGCAAAACTTTACCAGCTAATGGCAGTGTTTGAGTACCTGCTAATATCAGAAATACACAGTTCAGCAAATATTTTTGTGGCATTGAGTGCCAGTTTCTTACCAGATGTGGTTGGCTATGCACACTTGGGAAGAAAAGCTTAATTAATGTTGCACTGTAATTGAATATCAAAAGAATTATTTTCCAAGTAATGTAGGAGATTAAACATTTTAAGAATTGGACCATCCACACTTAAGCACTATGTTATCTAAGAACTGAGTTCATCTTCAAGTATACATAATTAATCCATTTAAGTTACGTGGTTAAATAAGAACAATCATACATTATACATAAATGCAACTGTCTACAGAAAAGAGGTGGTTGTCCCAAATGCATTAAGGGTCTCAAATTATTTTCAGATCATTTACTGCCAATTTTTTGCAGAAGTATAATACTTAGATACTGTAGGAGACTGTTGTTTACAGCCTTTTAAGGTTAAACATATACTTAAATAGCTATATATGTACAACTTTTCTAACAATGTCCTTATGCCAACTTGGTATATTATTTACTGATCTCATTTCCAATTTGGTTCATTTGTCATGGGAAGAGTTCCTGATATACCAGGGACCAGAAATGTATCTTGTTCTAGTTGTTACTTCAGGGTAACAGATGTGTAAGCAAATTTAGAAGCATACCTTTATGCACAGACTTCAGAAAATAAATAAGAACATTGCCTGACTAGCAGAGGTATGAGGCATTCTCCTCTGGCACCCATTCTGTGCCTTGCACTATACTCTTGCCCATGTTCTCTGCATTACCCTTGCCATATACCAAGGCAGAAAGATATATTACATGAAGTTCTGATACCCACCAATGCACAGGAATACTCCAGTGTGTTGTAGTGGTTAGACTTTAGTCATTAGTATGTTTAGGGTTGAGGAGAGGAGACCAAGATCAAAATCATCACTGAGCCATGAATTTGACTGGGTGGCCTTGCACCAGTCACTGCCCCATAGCCTAACCTACTCCAACTGGGTGATGTGAGGGTCAAATAGAAAAGAAGAACCATGTATATTGCTTTAAATTTGAATTCTTTGGAGGAAAAGTGGGATATAAAATCCTTGCCATTACACCTTAACCAATGCAGCATCTTTTCAAGATGATCATTCCCTTTCCGTACTGAAGATATAGAAGGTTCACATAGGATATAAATGCAGGCAAAACTTCAACAAGAGAATTAAGCAGATTAACTTTTTCAATGCAATGTGGAAAGTTGGAAGTATCTAATGGGTAGGAAAATTGGTTTCCTCCAGATGTTTTGAAGAACAACTCACCTAACCCTGACCATTGTTCATGCTGGCTGGGGCAAATGGAAGCTGCAGGTAACAGCTTGCTACCCCTTACGTTCATACCAAATCCAGAAATAGGCTGTTGTTCACTTATTGTCCCTCTTTCTGTTAACATTTCTTTACGGCTTAGAATCTTCTGCAAATGTTGTTACACAGTGCTTCTTGATCAAAATTAGACTAGGCAAGAGACCCATGCAATTCCCCTTGGAATAAACAAAGATTGTACAGTTATGGGGTTTGGTGGATCACCCCCATGGGCTGGAATCTGCAGCCTTCCCACTTCCTGGTTAATTTTATTAAGGTCAGAGGGCAGAGAGAATGGCTCTCTAGAGTAAAGGGGTTGTGGACTGGCCATCATCGAAAATTCATTTTGAAAGTGTATTCCAGAAATTAAAATGGGCCATGTGTAATCAGAGCAATATATGTTGCTATAGCATATACAAGCTAATGTACTTGCTTGGGGTGAAATTCAGTTCAAAATGCGTGTTCATAAATTAATTATGCACAAGATTATTTCTTGGGTTTATCCCTATTTGGCAAGCATTACATATGTTATTGTTGGAAAGGCCCCTACATCCATTGCATGCATCTTTGAATGGCTGAGTAGCTTGAGTTATCAATAAGTTATAGACTAATTTAAGTTGATTGGGGCTGTGTTGCTTATTGCTAGATACTGGTGTTTTGCTTTTGAGTCATTTGGTTAAACTCCTTTGAAGCTCACTTCATGAAATACTGAATCCATAATGTTTTCTCAGTTATTTCTGTCAAAACTGATGATATTGTGCATGTGTTTTCTCACAGTTGCAAGATGCAATCAAGGCTGGCAAAGGTGTGACTTCAGCTATTGACCTGTGCCGTTTCCATGGAAACAGAGCACTGGAGGCTCTGGCGTGCTTCCCTCCCTCAGAGGCCAGATCTGCTTTAGAAAACATTGTTTATGCTGTGACAAGATTTTCATGATGTACAACTGGAAAAAGAAACTACTGTTCATTTGCAGAAATGAGCAGAACAGATCATACTCGAGAGAGCCAAAATCTGCCATTGCTACGAATCTAAATGTGTTGGTGACTTGGAAAAAAAAGTGTTTCTGTTCCACTCACCACATTCCCAAACGAACATCTATCCTTCGGAACTGCTACAAACAAAATTAGGGAAAAAAAGGTCAAACAGTTTTCACTTGTCATGCCAGAAGCACACTTGAGGCTGCACTGGTAGAAATAATTAATGAGACTCGCTTCTGTGACCTCAGCAAATGGACAGGAAATAAGTCCTTATTGATTGGACATAGCCAGGGATGGCGCCAGTGTGGTGGCCTGTGGTTTTCCTGCACTACAGAAGACAGAGGGGGGCGTGAAGCTGCAGGTGTCAGGAGGAATGCTTTCTGAACCTGCCAGAGAGAGGGCTGTTGAAAACCAGAATTAACGTACTTATTTATCAACATGAAGGGCAGCTCGATGAATTAGCAGGGGGAAGGAGGGAATCTGACTGCATGCAGCGATGTCTCCTCACATTATTTCTCTGTGTATTTAAATATGAAATTGCCCTGTGCCTCATGTGTTGAGTGTTTGAAAGAGTTGCTGAGGGGCCGCATCAGGTATGATAAGAGCGTTATGATATTAATGTGGTTCTGATAAAAGAACAATTTTGAATGTGTAAGTTTTCAGTTTGGTTCAAGCAGATGCTTTGGTTAAACTTCCAGGAGAGTGAAATATTTGACTTTTGTATACCATTTTATTTCTCTCAGCAGAGAGATAAGTACTACATTTTTCCTAGATTTACTGAACATTCGGACTCTGTTCATACCAAATAAATGCCTCTTCATAAGGCTGTGTCTCATTACTGTGCCATAGAGGACTAAGGAATAGTTCTTCTGCACCACCCTTCCCCAGTCAGTACAGCATTTCATTCCCTGAATAGATGTATATTACATGAGAAGTTTTTTAACCTTACTGTGTCAAATGTTAAAGTCCAATTACAGAGAGAATACAAGGTATATCAGAAGCCTGGAATCTGACACTGTCTCTATTTTGTTCATAGGAGATGATTTTTGTGGTTTGCATGCTTGCAATCTGAGAACATCGTTGACAAGAAGGCTGAGTTTACATAAATGATCCAGATTGAAACTCAGCTACCTTTCTTCCTTCTGTGGTGTAATTACAGCCCAATCTGGAGACAGCTAGCACAGCAAACAGATTTCATTACACTGCTCTCTCAAACACTAAGTGGAGTTATTTCAGTTAACTTCTTCACACACACACACACTCACGCACACACACACACGGAAGTGAACTGTCACAAACCTATACAATGGACCAGTATGTTACCTGCAAAGGACTTTTTGAAAGTTATATACTTAGTTAAACTTTCAAGAGTCATATGAGTATGATTTAAAAGATCTTGATATTCCTGGATGGAGCTAAGCATTTAATATATTTCTTGTATACCAAAACATTAGTGCAGTTAAATTGTTTAGTAACTGGATGAAAGTGTAGATAAAAACTGGTTAAATTATCAAACCATTATACCCATTTGCCAAGAACATTCAGTCTTGAGAAAGAGCACATCAAGTATTATAGAGGAAACTATTCTCAATTTCAAACTTATTTTTGTTGCTGTTAATAGTTTCATCATTTTTTTAAGAGTACATGCAACACCATAATCTCAAATTTATAAAATGGCTATTAAAATTAGTCTCCACGTCCCACCTTCCCTTTGCTCATTACTAATGGCCATAATATCTACAAAAGATGGTATAAGGTAGGGGGTGGGGAGAAAAGGAAAGTACATTCGAATTCTAGCTGGGTTGCCAGGGGTTGGTGAAGGAGACTGCAGTCAATCCCCAGAGAGAACCAAAAAAGTTATCATGGAGATCCTTGAAACATCTCTGTATTGTTTTACTGAGCATCTGTCTTTGTTTCCTTAATTACTTAATCTAACAGGTCTTGCACCTACTGCTTGATCTCTGTAGAACTTGTTGACTCACAGCACTGAGATATCTATCAGCTGCCAATATTCCTCAGAATCCATGCTGTCTGTACATTATACATGTCCTGCCCTAATACTCAAAGACCTAAAGTTGTGTGATACATTAGGTCTGCCACTCTGTAAACATCTACCTGAGCGTAGGCACCACTGAACTCCAGGGAGTTACTTCCCAGTGAAATGGATAGGATTGCACTGTTCATTCTAACAGCCCTTCTAGAAAGACAGGGTATCTCATAACTCCAGAGAATATGGAACACCACTGTTCCTGGTATTATTTTTCATGCAATAGTGAAAACTATCACCTGGGATCCCGTTCACAGGGACATCATTTTGACATCTTAATAATAACTTGTATCATACTTTTAAATCTTCAGCAAATGCATTTCTGAAGCCTGAATATTTAGGGAATTTGAGCACAGAGAATTCCATCTATGCCAGTGCAATTGAATCTGATGGAAGTTTTGCATGCTTGCCAAATTCATGATGGAATTATGTGGCTCACCATTGGTGATGTCACAAGTACTATCCAATATTTGCCCTTGACACTGGTAAAATCTATAACCACAAGATGCTCAAGAACAATGTATGTAATAGCCAGAGAGAAAATTGCCATTTCCCACTGAGTGAAAGAGTGTCTGTGTGTCTACCATACACCATGAAACCTGGATACATGCAAACAGCTGTTCACATATTAAGCACGTCTATTAAATTATCATTAATGCAGTTGCAAGAACTACTCATTTGAATGGAGCTCTGGCAGACCTTTCTGACTACAGACTACAGCCCAAATGGTCCAACGTGTGTTTGCAGTATCAGGAAGTTTAATGCATTCAACAAAAATATCTGCTGTTTGAGATGAATGAGGATGAAGATGAAGATTTGGGGCAGTATTTATGCTACCCATGCAGCAGTAGTAGAATACTGCCACATACCTTCATCTTCAGCCTTATATAACTCAAATATTTTTTTGAATGGTATCACAAGAGAAAATGCTTCCACTCATACTTGGGCCTCTCTTAGGAAGCTCTGGTTCCTCTTACCTAGTGGTGGGTCCCTGTCACAACTGAATTAGGCATAGCAGCAGTATAAAATACAACCATCAACATAACTGCCTGTACCAAGCTCTTCTTTAAAAAATTGTTTAGATTGCAATTTAAGCCATTAGGTGTTAAAATTGTCATTTATGGGGATTCTGCAAACTTGGTTCTAGTCAAGCTGTTTTGTCTTCTGAGACAAAAAGTGTGAATGAAATAACTGAAAACTAAACAGACCTCAACAAGGGGAATATATATATAAAGTATATGAGCATTTCTTAGTTTGAAATCAATTTTCTCTTCTTAGCCTTGTTCAGCATTTCTTTAAAGAGCATTAACTTAGAAAACAAGACTTTAGAGGATTTTAAAGGAAAGTTAGTGCGGTATAGTGGTTAAGAGTACAGGAGTCTGATTCAGGAGATCTGGGTTCTAGTCCTCATCAATGCAGCTAACTGGGTGACTTTGGGCCAGTTACACACACTCAGCCCAACCTACCTCACAGGAATGTTGTGATGATAAGCCACCTTGAGTTCCTTGAAAGGAAAAAAGGCAGGATATAAATATAATAAATAGTAACTTGCTCCGTGCAAAGTCCCATTGAAATGATTGGAAGATTGCAAGCTACGTGTGCTTAGTGAAAAGTTTTCTTCCAGTTCTGTAATAACTTTTCATGGAATTTTTTAGCAAATGCTTTTGTTCTACATTGACAGAGCTGTAGATAGTGATATCTGTATTTTCCCTCAGAACTCACACTAACCTCTTTCAGCAAAATCCATACTGAGCTCTTTTAGGAAACGTGATTGAGTAGTTCAGTTGCTTCTGGTAAGACTGCTGAGTGACTAGACAAACCACTGAATCTCATGGCTAGTATTTTTCAGTCTGTTGCACTGAGAATAAACTGTCATGGTGTGCAGGGAAATCATGAGATCTGATTCACTGTGTAATGCCTTTGAGCTTAATAAAAATGCAGAGTTATTTATTGCTAGTAAATACTGTGTACATTCTTGGCTACTACCTCCAACCTGAATGTGTGTTGATGGATGAAAAATAATGGCCAGAAAACTCCAAACTAGTCATTGACCCATTTACACCTAGCAATGTTTTCAACTCTGATCCTCACTTCCAATTAGCTTGCTTCCTTCAGACAGGTACACCTTTACCTATATTGTTCTATGTAGGGTATTGTAGAATTCATGTATTTGCAGATATATTTAGTAATGAAAGTGTCCTGGACTACCTGTGTTATTTTTTCTATTTGACCATTTTTATACTCTGAGGAGTCAGTGAAGGTGAACAGTCCTTATACATATGATACCATTAATATAAAAAGTCTTAGAGTTCCTTACTAGGATAACTTATTCTTCTCTAACTCTGTTAGTGTCCCTTTATCCTAGTGAATAGTTAAGAAATCTCTCTTCTAGCAGTGTAACAATCCACACACTATTCTACAGGTGTGTTTGAACATAGTACATAGCTTTCTCTTCAAGATTAAAATAAGTTAATGAAGCATAGAATGCCAGTAAATCTAAGTGAAAATGAAGAAATGATGTGATCACATAGGATTTGATTCCCTACCTTCAGGATTTGTTTTTTGTTTCAAACTGTTGCTTGTGATTTGCAGGCATTATAGTACCTTTCCCTTTCAAATTTTCCATGTCCATCTTGCTATGTGAGTGTTTGTGCACATACGCGTGCACGCACACACACAATTTAAAATCATTGTTACCTTCTGCCTTAGACAGAAGAGTACTTTGGCTCCCCCATGTGTAAGAGAGTCTTACGCTTCATAAAATTTTGACTGCTTTTTTAGAGTGTATCAATAGTGTATCAATGCCATTTTTTCCTTTTCTTTTTTATGACTATGCTTGGAAGAGAGAGGTCATTCTTTTTTCCCCACTTTTTAAAATTTGAACCATTTCTTTAAAATCAAAAAGTGTGATGCTTTAGTGCATTGTTTTAATGTAAAACCTGTGCACATGAATTGAACTTTCCGTGAAGACTTTTTAACCTTTCAAAAATGCTTTGGTTTGTACAATTTAGAGGTTTTGAGGGTTTTTTAAAATTCTAGTGATCAGCAATTCCCTAACAGTTATTAAAAATGTGGTGACATTTAAAAACATGTTTTACATTATGGAATAAACTTGATGATCTAACCATTATTTACCTAAACAGGAATGTGAAATAGAAAAATGGCAGAACCAGAACATTCTGAACCTGTAAGCATACCCTCATAGATATGTAAAGTAACTGGGACTTCCCTTGTTTATTTCTTGTGAACACTCACAGTGTTGAAATACTTAACACTTCCATGTTATCCTTCCCTGTACTTACTTCAGGTCGAGAACTGGGACTTGTATGCCTTTTCCTGCCCAAACTTGCACAGAATTGTGCTTTTAATTCATTGCCATGTATTCATGTAGCGGTAGAGCTGCTGTGGTACAGTAGTGGGACCCATCCCAGCAATTCAGAAGCAGCAAACCAAAGGATCATCACTCCTCTCCAGCCTCATTGAAAGGGTTCATTTGCTTTTGAGAGAGACAGAGAAATGTAGGCATTTTACATAGCTCTCTTTTTCCAGAAGGATGATTGAGAAATGAACCATTACCTCCTCCAGCTAGTTTGAAAGCTCTTCCAATTTCAGTATTGTCTGAATAGCGCTTCCTTCTTTGCATGTGCTCATCAGAGACTATTTTCCGTTATAGACATACACACAGGCACGCACTCTCCACTCCACTATTTATATCCTAGTTAAACAATGCCAGCATGCAGCAGTAAAAGGTGTGCATTTCATATGCAAATCAGTGGCAATAATTTTGTACAATTGCTTACTTGTTTGCATCATTATGCTCAACAGCAGCATAACAAAACGAATGCCCCAAAGAATGTTACCAGAATGGAGTTTTGTCTTGGCAAGTCCACCCTTCCATTCACATTTTAGCTAATAAAGCAGTTTAGTCATAGATGACAGAAATACATAGGCTGTATTCATCACTTCTTTTGGGGTAGTTTAAGCTTTAAATTGTTAGATTGCCACCCCAGTCCTAAAACTGAGGCCCAGCATATCTGCCTGCAATGGTAGATCAGCAGATATATTACAACAATGTAAAACCAGAGGCCCAGTTTGGATTACTCATCAGGCATGACTGCATGAGTGGCAGAATCATAATGCTTAATGTGTAATCTAGTTGAATTTATTACCCAACTGAGGATCCTTATGAAGTCAAAATGGCACCAGGATAGAGACAATGGAATGGAGTGTCCTAGAAGAAGACATGACTGAACAGGATCACACTAGATTGCAATATTTGGCTACTAATATCACTAGTAGGGTTTAGAATTTCCTTACAAATTAAGGTGCAGGAGGAAGTCAGAGCACCTCAGTTGAAGAACTGACTAATGTAGCTTTGGGACTGGGAGATCCAAAGGACACTCTGGGTTTGATAAATCACAGAGTTGGTTGATCTGATGCTACAGGAAAAAGCACCATCTGATCTTTCTGATACTACTAACCAATGTCCATCCTATAGATTAGCAAAAATCAAACAAGCAAACAAACAGTACAATAATATGGCTATCAATCCCATATTTAAATAAAAGTACATTACAAATATGGAGGTATAAATATTAAATTTATTGGCTATTTTATCCTGAATTCAATAGCTTTGTTGAAATTTTGACATGGTCTCAAATTATCAAATAATTTTTTGCTACCAAAGGATGTTGGACCACTTTAGTCAGGTCATGGAATTTGATTCCACAAACATTCTATGAATAATTCATTTTACTATATATTTCTGTGGCTATAGATATAATATCACAAGTGTGAAACAGTTTTGCTTGAACAACGTAGCAGAATACTTTCTGAATCATCTTATTCAAGAAGCGCTTCTGCGCATTTGAAATCTACAAGGCAAACGAAAGAAACCATTTCAGCATTTCCACACTAGGCAGAAAGACATCTGTTATATAACTGACTACCAAAGAGCTTGAAAAAGGAGCTTGGCTGGAACAAAAATATGACAACACATCAACAATGTGATACAGCTGCAAAAAAGTCAAATGCTATTTTAGACTGCATTAATAGAAGTATCACTTCCAACTCATGTGAAGTACTAGTTCCCCTTTACTCAGCACTGGTTAGGCCACTTCTGAGCACCACAGTTTAAGAAAGATGCATATAAGCTGGAAAGGGCTCAAAGGAGGGCAACAAGCATGATCTGGGGACTGGAAACAAAATGCTCTGAGGAGAGATTGAAAGAAATGGATGTGTTTAGCTTTGAGAAGAGAAGACTGAGGGAAGATATGGTAACACTTGACAAGTACTTGACAGGCTGTCACAAAGAGGAAGGCCAGGATCTCTTCTAGATCACCCTAGAGTGCAGGACACAGAATATTGGGCTCAAGTTGCAGAAAGCCAGATTCCAGCTAGATAGCAGGAATAACTCCCTGGCTGTTGGAGAGGTATGACACTGGAACCAATGACCGAGGGAGATTGTGAGCTCTCCCACACTAGAGGTGTTCAGGAAGCCCTTGCACAGCCAGCTGAGAGGGATGGTTAATTCAGAGTCCTGCACTGAGCAGGGGCTGGGACCCTGATGGCCCTCTGGTGCCTTCCAACTCTACTGGCCCCTCTTCCAACTCTATGAACATCAACATCACAGAATAATATCTGGAGGCAGACGGGTCAGTACTGTTATTCCTGCTGTAGCATCATTGAATTGAACCGGGAGAGAAGAACTTAACTCTTGGAGGTTGCCTGTGACATGCCAAGACATCATAGACCCATTACTGATCCCTGCACCAAAAGTACACTGTAGAACAGTCTTCCCCAGCCTGGTGCCCTCCAGGTATGTTAGACTGCAACTCCCATAATTCTAATAATTCTAGCGAGGATTTATGGGAGTTATAGACCCAGCACAGCTGGAAGACATCACATAGGGAATATTTCTCTAGAGACCCATCAAATGTGAACTCAGTTGAGTTATTACTAACTTTGCAAATCTATACAAATCTACTCAGAAGTTCAATTGTTAGTACATATGCTCAGGACTGCAGCCTTCAGAAGGTAATAGAGGAAGATTTTTCAGAGCAGTTTGGTTATACTGTGCCTTGCACAAAAGATTTCAAATTCTACAGAATATTGAGAAAGAAAATAAAATGGTGAAACTCTCCTTGGCAATAAATACATAACCAGCAGTTAGTTGAATCTTTCTAAACAGAACATAAGAGAGAAATGAAGGAAAATGTGGCATTCCTTGCATTAGCAAAACGAAATCAGTTTTAGAAAAATTAAGTATATTTTCAATGTAAGCTCATGAGCTAGGAAGTGTAACATAATAAAACTGGCCAACTGAAGCCTAAGGGGGCAGCAACATCTATCTTTCTACATCATCCTACAAGAGATCAACAAGGGTTCCAATTTGGCAGGAATCCATCAAAACAGATATGCTGCAATTTCTCCGCTTCCCTTGGTGATTACTATTACTTTTGTAATGGTCTTAAAGTAGTGACCCTTCCCCACATTTTCAGTCTTCACTTTTTCCTCTTCAATAACAACTATATAGAGTATGAAAGCACATAGCAACCAAATGAAATAGGTTTCCTTAAGTATCAAAGAGTAACTTTTTAGCCAAAGGTATTAAATAGGAAGCAGAAAACACTCCTGAATAAATGATTTGTGGAGCGCACATCCAAATGCTTTTGCTTTGCATTTTTGAAAGTTTGTGGAAAGCCAGCCTAAACTTACAATGTAGTCTACTGGCAACTTGTTTGCTTATTATTCCTGTTCCAGAGCTGTTAGGGGACAATATAATCACACTCCTGGATGGATAGCTGAGGCCCTGCAGGGCCCCTTCTGGGCTTGGGTCCCCTAATAGCAGCTGTGCCTGAGGCCAAAACTATAGCCTATAAAATAAGGTGGAACTCAGACTGGCAAATGTTTTCTCATTTGTGAAGCAGAGTTTGGCTTGCACAAGTTTCCTTTACTCCCCTACCCACCCCCCAATGTATGTGTAAATGTAAAGTGTTTTAGGTAGACCAAAATTCTGCAGAATTAAGTATAAATGCTTTAACCCATTACATGAGTAATGAATATAGGGGACCAAATGCAAAGGCAGGTAGTATTCCTGTACATTTAATAGTGTGCAGAGAAGGAAAGAATCCCAGCAATGCAGTTTGCCCATCAGAGGTTAGAGAAATTATAGCAGCTGCTGAAATTCAGTGTGTTCTAGAAGAATCATTTTCAGTAGACTGAGCTGTTTTTAAATCCAAATCTAAATCTCATAATACCTCACCCTAGTGTATAATGTTATGTTTAAATGCATTCATAATAGTACTCATTTTTCCAAATTTATACAGAGTATTAGCCAGATGACACTTGGACCAGATTTTGCACTAAAGTTATCAAATAATGATGTCTATACTAGAGTAATCTACTTTACATGCTGTCAAAAAGATAAAGAGAAAATGGATTTTCGTGAAAGGGAAATATGGAATCTGAAGAATTTGTGGATTCTAGCAAACAAGGGATGCCAAAATATGTAAATGAGCAAAGGGTGGAGATGAAAGACTAGCAGCAGCAGCAGCAGCAGCAGCAGCAGCAGCAGCAGCAGCTGCAGCTGTTACACCAATTACTGAGGAAGAATACAAGTAGGAAGCAAACATGAATGGAGAAGAGTACATAACACAAAGTAGCACACAATCCTGTCTGGTATGAAATAATTTCTCATTATATACAACAGATCAATATTGATTTTGATCATTCCTGTACCAAATACTTCTATTATTTCCTTTTGCACAGATGGGTAATATAGACTGAGAGTCATCGATCCAGCATACAGAACTTGTTTATAGGTCTCTGGATAACTGTAAATTTTGACAGCTGTGGGGCACAGTCCTATGGGGATATTCAGAACTCTCCTATGCAGAGCAAGAGGCAAAATTATACATTTCTTCTGCTCTGCAAAACAACTAATCAACTAAGCTGACTATGTTGTTTCAGAAGAAAGAAGGTACCTCCAGGTCATGTTATACCTTGTCAGTGGCAGTCTTCATCCCTACCTATCCCCTGAAACCCTCTCTCATCCCTTTCACCAACTCAATATGATTCTTTCTGTTATAGAAGAAAGGAGGTTCCAAGCACAGATCCCCAGTTCCAAGGTCAGAGTGCTGTTTCCAAACTCAGAGCTGGGAACCCTAACAATCCTATGATCAGCAG